CCCCTCAGGTCCTGGACAGTCTCCGTGTCGCTTGGAACCGCCGCTCCCGGGTTCACCCCCTGTGGCCGGCCCCCAGACCGACTCAGCTCCCGCCACAGGCAAGCCCCCGAGGAAGGGCCATAGGACTGCCACCAGTCTGTTCAGGGCGGCCGGTGGGGGCTCACTAGGCGTTGCCCCGGGTGCCCACACCCTAGCAATGTCACCTACTGGCGACATTGGGGTGGGGGGCGGCGGGCCCTGGGCAGAGGCGCTCAGTGCCTGGCTTCGCGCAGGACTCGGCGGAGCAGCGGCGTGTCCTGCGGGAGCGGCTGCAGCAGGTGCAGCGGGAGAGGACCAAACACCTGCGGGCCCTGGGGGCCAGGTGAGGAGCAGGGGTGGGGGCCAGGGCCACCCAATGCCCGATACCTGCGGTTGACATGCCACTCTACTCCCTCTTCGCTCAGGAACACTCAGAACTTCCAGGAGCTGCTGGGGACCCCTGGAGTTGAAGAGCCAGCCCATGGAGAGTGACTCCGCGGGACTCCTCTAATCACCGCTGAGTCCTTGGGAGGACCGCCGAGTGAAGGGACCAGCGAAAGGGCCAGCGCGTGCAGGCCGGCAGAGCCTCAGAAAAGCCGTGGAGGCCTGAGACAGATAGACAAACAAGCAGCTCCACCTCCAAAGGTGGAATGTCGTTTTCTTCTCCCCTCTCCGAGCCCACCTGCCCTGCCCCCTCCCCCCCATCAGGTCAGAGCGCCAGGTCTCGGGGGTCCAGCAGCGCGAAGGCCCCGTTCTTGCGGAAGAAGGAATCGATCCGGCACATCTTGCAGGAGACCAGCTCGTGCTTAACTGGGGGGCCTGCGAAGAGATGGCAGAGGCCAGAAATGGCTCCCTAGGCCCCGCAAAGAGGCTCCTTCCTGGAGAGGGGAGTCCCGGGGAACAGAGGAAGCTGGCGTGGATTGTGGCCAGCCATGGCGCCCATCCTCAGCCCCCTAGGAACCCCAGCCCTTCCTGATCCAGGGGCAGACACCTCTGAGACTGTCTGGAACATGGGGCCTCCTTCTGCCCCACTCCCTTTCTGGGGTTCGCCTCCTGCTTTGGATGAAAAGTTGCTCCCCTTACTCCCCATTGGGGACCTGGAGAGGGTGCGGGGGTCTTTGTGCTGTAAAACCTCAGCTGTAGTCATTTCTGACCATCACCGTTTGGGCACTGGCACCCAAGAAGCCGAAAAGAGACACGTGACTGAGTAACTGGTCTCATTTTAAACACATGACACAGAGCAGAGGGGCACTCCTGCCAGCACCCCTTGCTCACACTCTTACTCATCTCCACGCTCCCACCCAGCTGACACCCCGACTGAGCTCACAGCATAAACAGTCCAGAGAGCGCCTTCCTGCCAACGCTGTCTTCCTCCTGCCCCCAACAGCCTGTGCTCCAGAGATGGGTCCAAGGATTCTACCATCAACTGTATTTTGAAGGCTCAGTGACAGTTCAAACCCTCAGGAGAAAGACAGGGCTTTCTACTTCCATAAACAGTCTTGAAAACCCACTATGAGTCAGGAGGTCATTAAGAGCCAGCAATAAAAGGCAGTGAAAATGAGTCTAGCTAACCACAAGGTCGGCAGTTCAAACCCATCAGATGGCCCCACAGGATTAAGAGGATGCCAGGGGCCCTGGTGGTACAGTGGTTATGCATTGGGCTGCTAACTACAAGATCAGCAGTTTGAAACCACCAGCTGCTCCACAGGAGACAGGATGGGCTTTCTACTCCTATAAAGAGTTAGTCTCAGAAATCCACAGGGCCAGTTCTACTCTTGGCCTATAAAGTTGCTGTGAGTCGACACGGACTCAATGGCAGTGAGGTTCTTTTTTTCCTTTTTAATCTGCTCCAGTAAAGATTTACAGTCTCAGAACCCCTTTGTAGGGAATTGACTCAAGGACAAGAGTTTGGCTTGGGGGTTTTATATTTTGATGGTAGTTTGTAGGTGGTGCAGTTAATGCATTTGGCTGCTAATCAAATGGAGGGTTAGCAGGCTAGGTGATCTACTGAAAACAGCCACTGAAAAACTGTCACACCATTCCATTCCACATGCATCGGTCACCAGGATTCAGAATCAACCCAGGGGCAACTGGTTTGGTTTTGTGTATCCAAAGACCTTAGAATTTACATCCTCCGAGTCCATGCTCCACCCGAGCGCCAAACTCTGACACAGCCCCATGACGCCACAAGTCTAAAACAGCTGAATTAACTCCCTATACACCCTCCACCCTGTACCTCACCCACTCTGCCCTGTCACAGCCGCTCCAGCTGAACCCTTGGGCACCATCGGTGACTTCTTTGGTCTTCCGCTCAAATTCCACACGCCAGTGCCCTTGGTTCTTCCTCCAACACCCTCACTCTGGGCTGGTGCTTGCACCCTAACACTGCCCCCACCTGGCTTGGATAACTTCAACAGATAAATTATCTACCTGCTTCTATTCCTTCCCCGGAAACAGCTGTTACCTATAGACCTGCCAAGGTACTTTAAAAAAGGCATCAGTATCATGCACTTGTGTAATCCACTCTTCCCCACCGCCCACATCCCCAGAATCAAATCTAAACTCCTCCTTCATATCATGTGGAGGTCCCAGCCTGAACACTGACTCTCCTCAGTCCAACCCGAGCGCCCACACACATATCTCTAGCATCACCAGGACACTTGTCCCTCTGGGCTGGCCCTTCCACGGAATGCCTGTGCCACATTGGGGTGGTGCCTCCCTGCCTCGTGCTGAGCACTGCACGGCCCGTGGTGGGTGATCCATGCTTGGTAGATGAGTAATTTCTAGAGGTTGGAGCTCACCCAGCTGCCAGCCATACTTGAAGTTGGTGGTGATGGGGAAGAGGTAGCGCTTCTCTGGCAAGTCCAGTTTCCGGGTGTTGAGGTAGCGGAAGCGCCCCTGATGGTCATGGGAGATGCCTTCATAGAGCAGAGCCCGGGTGACAGGCGGTACTGGGTACATTTCTGACTGACAAGGAGCCTCCTCCGGAACAGGGCTTGGGGGCTTGGAAGAGGCTGCTTTGGGGGCAGGTGGGGGCAAGACTGGGGTTTGGGGCTGCAGGGTGGGCAGCTTGAGGGGCACATGGGCTGCAGCCTTAGCCTTCTGCCTGGCCTTTACCACTGACCCATACTTGCGTTGCCATTCACAGCGCAACCACTTTTCCCTCAGGAATTCTTCCTTCCAGAAGTTCTGCCGCAGCGTGTCCATGTTGAGTTGGCGCGACATGGTGGCAGGGAAGGAGTGGTACCTGGGACAGCCAGAGTGAACTGAGGCCTCCCTTTGACCTGCTGCCCAGGGTTAGTCACCCGGCAACCAAGGCTCACCTCACACAGGGCCAGGGTTCTACCTGACATGCCCTCAGCAGGATCACCTCTCCTGTTTTCTGAGGCAGTCTCAGGCCAGAGGCCATAGGCAGGAGCCGCTACCCCTACCAGCTCTGACCCAGGCCCCATCTAGAATCTGACTTCCTGCTACGTGTCCTGTCCTGTATCGGTGGTGCTGGTTCCTTAGGGCCAAAACCCTGGCCAATGCAGACTGGTGTGTGTGTGTGTGTGCAGGGGGGTGGAGGTGGGGGTGGAGAGGGGCTTGGTTTCCATCTCCTCCATCCCCCACATAGACCTGGTGCTTGATTAAGAGGCCCAGTTCTCAAGCTACGGCCTCGGGGCACAATCATCCAGCCCATGGCTACATCCTGGGTCTTCAGAACCCCTTTCAGCCTTGGCAAGCTCCTCCCTCTAGTCAGCCATCCCCCCTCCACACGTCCTTGCTGGCACCAGCCCGAAGTGTAGAGAGAAGCAAGAATATGACTTTAATTTAACACCAGCAATGACACTGTAACAGCAAAGGGAGGAGGTGGCAGAGGGGAGGGAAGATGGTCAGGTGCCTGCTCCCTCACCAGACCCCCAGCTACTTGGGAGCACCTCACTCAGCCTCTCGGGAGTGGAGTCGGGCAGGGAGCCCGAAACCGGAGGCTCAGAACACACAGAAGGGTGGATGGTCAGTGGGTGGGAAGACAGGTGAGGCCTGGACATGGGGGCGGTTGGGGGGCGCTTAGCGCAGGTCTTCCGCAGTGAACATGCCCCTGGCCCTGCGCAGGATGGAGTCCTTGGCGGCGTCATAGGGGTGCTCCTTGGATGGGATCTCCAGGACGGCCGGGATGGAGCGCTGGTGGGCATCCAGGGCGTGCCTCACCATCTCAGCGATGTACTGGTTGATGAGGATGATGCCGATGTCATCGCGGTTCAGAAACTGCCTGTTGGGAGAGAGAAGGGACAGGGTGTCCGGTGCCGCTTCAGGGCGCCTCTCTACTTCCCACACAGCCCACTGGCGGTGGGGGTGGGCCATGGAAGGGGATGGGCAGGACACAGAGACTGTAGAGGACAGGAAAGGTTTCTATGAAACGCTCATGCTCCCCCTTCTGTCAGGAATCCGTTTCACCCCAAGATAAGGGCCAAGGCGGCCAAAGCTGGCTGCTCCCAGCCCTATAGGAAAGGCATCCAGGCAATTGGTCAAACAGGCCAGGGTTCAAACCCGTGCACACCGTGTGCTGCTGGGTGTAAGAAAACACGAGTTGCTGTCCAGTCCATGCTGACTCATGAGACCTGACATGTGTCAAGGGAGAGCTGTCTCACTCACTGCTATTAAGTCCATTCTGACACACAGTGACCCTCTAAGTCAGGGTCCAACTGTGCTTGTCGTTTGCTGAGACTCTGACTCTAGATGGGAGTAGAAAGCCCCATCTTTCTCCTGGGGAGCAGCTGGTGGTTTTCAGCTGGCGACCCTGAGGTTGGCAGACCCACGTGGAACCCACTACGCCATCAGGGCTCCTGAGTCAAGCTGCACTCCAGAGTCCTCAGTGGCTGGGTTTTTGGAAGCAGACGGCCAACTCAGCACTGGTGGACTCGAAGCACCAACCTGCTGATTAGCAGACAGTGTGTTAACTGTTTGCACCAGCCAGAAACACCTTGGGTCCATAACCACCAAATCAAACCACGGCCATCAAGTCAATTCCGACTCATAGCGACCCTGGTAGAACTGCCCCTGTGGGTTTCCAAGCTGTAACTTTTTACAGGACTAGAAAGGGGGATGTGAAGAATACAGATGTGTTTTCCCTGAATTTGCATGAAAAGTTCTGGAAAGAGGGGGAGGAGAGTGGTGGTGGGAGAGGTTGGGGTGACGGGGAGAATGCTCAGCGTTTATCTTTTTAATGCTAATTTGCAAGCCCTAAGAACACAGGAACTTTCCCAAGGATGAGAAATTCATTTTGTTTTAAAGGGTGGATAAGTGTGTCCCCCGCCACCACCTCAAGGTCAGGGCTTATGTGGGTGGGGGCAGGTCAGCAGGGAGTCTGGGCATGAGCCAGGAACACAAAGGAGGAAGAGCAAGGGAGAAGGAATCACATTTTCCACAGATTCAACCTGACCCCAGGAGCCTCCTTCCTTCATCCATCCATTAAGCTTCATGACTTTCGAAGGTTCTGTTTGCTTAGAAACATGGAAAATTCTAGAAGTCAAGTTTGTCCTCCTTCATGACAACTTGAAGGACTTTACGAGACTGCCCAGAGGTCAGCAGACGGCCTCCTCCCTCCCTCAGGATCTGTCAGATCCCAGGCAGCAGGAACCAGCCTGAGCTGCTGCTGCACAGGGCAGGGCTGTTTAGAGGCAAACTGGAAGGCGTGGCTTGCTCCTGAGACTTGGCCCAGGAATCCTAGAGACGGGGTGAGGGTAAGAACAGAAGACTGGCACTCTCAATCCTAGTCACCTGGGCACCTCTTGGGCTAAATCAGAAGCTATCACCTTTGACCAGGGGCAGAAAACTAGGGCTTCACACTAAAGAACTGCCCAAGAATTGCAGGAGGGTGGGCAATCCGGATGTCCGGATCTTCGTGCTCCAGGTGGATGAGAAAGTTCCAAGGTAGCCAGCCAGCAGGGAGCCGCCCCAGTCCAGTCAGTACCAGACCTTTAAGAGGCACCCTTGGCTCTGCCTCTGCCAGCAGGTGGTATGCGACTCTGGGTAGGTCCCCTGACCTCTCGGGTTTTCCCATCCTCACCTGTGAGTGGGAACAATAATCCCTACGTTTCGGGGCCACTGAGCCTGCAGAGGTGGGCAAAGTACAAGAAAGGCCAAGCACACTGCCCACAAGAACGTGAGCTCTTCCTTGGGGGTGGGGCACAACTTGCAAAAGAGAGAGATGGTCTCTCGCCAGGGTCAGAGCCTGCTCTCCGCACGCGGGACTCCCGACGGGGCGCGGAAGCTGGCGCAATGAGGGCTGAGCAGGGACAGTCTGGGCGCCGCCGCAAGCTGTTCCCCTCCTTTCCCACCGCACGGTCACGTGAGCGGCGAGCTCGAGCGCTTGACAGTCACGGCCCCGCCGAGTCCCAAAGAGGAACCCGGAGCGCCGGGAGGCCTCGGACCTCCCGACCCTCACGGCGGGGCTTCGGACACCGACCCCAGGCCGTCGCCGTCGCCGCCCACTCCCCGCGCCCGTCAGGCCGCGGCAGAGCCGGTCCAGGCCCAGCGGCCACCGTACCGGAAAGTGTCTTCGATTTCATTGATGGTTGTATCCTTTTCCACCACCAGGAAATTCGGATGGCGGTTCTTGTTAAGCTCCCCTATGCCACCCAGCAGGAAGCCAGTCACCGTGTCCTCGTCTCCGATCACCGCGATGAGTTTCCCGCGCCCGGACATCCTCGCAGCCGGCAGAGCTCACCCGGGGTCGGCTGATGGATCCGAAGCCCCGCCTCCGTGGGCGGCCCCCTTCCAGCTTCCCAGCCCCCCACCACACATGCGCAGTTCTCCCGCCGCTTCCGGAGCCTGCGCATTAGAAACAAAGCGGCCACCAACGGCAGACGCCTGCGCCGTAAAGAAAGGTCGTAGCTAGAGGACTACGAATCCCAGAAGGCCGCGCGGCTCCCCGGCTCCCTCCGACCGAGGTCCCAGTAAGTTCGTTCGTTGGCGCTGACGTTCGCCGTTCGCGGATTCACCCGTTCATTCAATAAACGTATTGAGCCTAGCGCTGTTAGACGCGAAACGCCACAAAGACACAATGTTTGTCCTCGAGAGCCAGGGCCAAGTCAGTGTCGTGCCTGGCACATGCCGGGGAGCTTCAAAAAGTTCGTGGAAGATTGAAATGAACCGATCGTGGAATTTTCCCACGAACTTTTCGAAATTCCCCCATTGTAATTAATTACACGATACGTATTTGTTCAGGATTAATAAAGGAATGAACAAGTTCAAGATGATATGGCCTAGTGAGGTTGAGTCAAGGGAACAAAGCAATACCAACCACTGAAGGATTTGAAGCAAAGGGTGATAGGGGTTCTTGGTGGACTTGCCCGTCTGCTATTAGGGTGGTGGAAGGACCCTTGCCAACGACTGTGCTGGCTTCAAAGGCCAGCCAGAAGGAGGAGACCCAGTTGAGGGCACCCCTGCTAGTGAGGGAGGGTGGTGGCTGGGACTGGGCTAGTGACCAGTGGGGTAGTGAGGAGAAGTGAAAGTTATTGTTTAAGAGACAGAATGGCCCAAACTGGTTTGGGGATTTGAACTGATTTGGGGTAGGATGGAGGTCGAGTGAGGTAGAGAGACCCAGGTGAGTGGTTATATGTTGAACTTCAAACCGCAAGGTCAGCAGTTGGGAACCAGCAGCTGCTCCAAGGGGGCAAGATGAGGTTTTCTCCTCCTGCAAACAGCCTCAGAAACCCACAGAATTGGTTCTGCTCTGTCCTGTGTGGTCTCTGAGTCGTAACCGACTTGATGGCATGGAGTTAGACCCAGGTGCATGGTAATACTGGCAGATCTCAGAGATGAGCAGGCTGAAGGAGAAAGGCTACTCTCTCCTCCCTTTGAACACGCAGGCACCCCTGGTGTGTGGCATGAGATCTGTGAGTGTATGGATTGTGGTCCAGTGATGAGAGGGATGTGCTGGGGTTCAAATCACAGCCGGTTTAGATTTGAGGCATCAGTTTGGACTCATCACTGGTATTCTTTGGGCTGACTTTCCTGTAATCATCGCAGGCGCACTTCACAGAGCTGTGAGGAGGAGGTGAGACCGGCCTGTAGGTGCTCAGTGCTCAGCACACCCTATGGATGGACTAGAGATGGATAAAAAACCTTAAACTGCAGGAGGACAGCCAGGGCAAAGCAGTGAGGATGGGTGTGAGGAAGGGTGCAGAAGCACCCAGCTCCAGGGCCTGGCCCAGAACAAGCCTCAGGGGCCGCCTCTGGCTGATCTATCAGAGCCGGATCTGGGCATCCCTCATACATTCTCATTCAACCAGCATTATCCATTTACCCGGTGTGCCTGTGATGAGGGGGCTTAGGGAAATGATGGAGAAAACACAAATGAGCAGGTGAGAATGTTGGGAGGGGGGCAAACAGTAAAAAGAATCCCTGGAGGGGGTAGATCCAAGGTAGACTGGGAAGGAGGTACCTCTTCCTCAGAGGTAGAGGGAACGTTCTAGAAGAGCAAGGGTGCAGATGTGCCACCGTGTGAAGAGGTCAGGAGGGTGGCGATTAGGATCCAGGACCTTTGAGATCTCTGGCAGCCCCACCACCAGATGCTGAACGTCTGGGCTCCAGTCTAGATTTGGGAGGTCGACCGCATCAGCGCTTTGTCCTGCTGTTTATTCGTCACACTTGCTTAGACCTTCCTGGGGCCAGAGGACTCAGCCTGGTGAGGATGCAAGGTTACGAATGAGGGTGAATACAACACAGAGCTGTGCCTCTGGGGATTATGGGAGCTGGGAGCGCTGTTCCGGAAGGGGCAGGGATAGACAGCTTCTAGGACAGCTTCGTGTTGTCCAGGAAGATGAAGAGGGTAAAGGGTGACAGGCATGTTTCTTGGAAGGGGACCCAAAGTACATCATGGGTGCCCAGAAAGCAGCAGCCAGGAAGAGGGGTCCAAGAAGGAAGTGCCAAGGGGCATGGGCACACTCAGAAGTCCTGAATGGGTGAGGGGCTGAGATCTGAGCCTGGAAGGTGTGGGAGTCAACTTTGCCTGGAGCCTGAGGGAGCCACTGGAGGACCCCAAACCAGAGAGGGGTACCACCCCACCCCTGTGAACCTGCCTCACTGTGTGTGTGTGCACATAACACTGGTGCAGGTGCTCAGGAAAGAGCCTTGGCTGGGCGATGGGGCTGGGGCAAGCCTAGACCCAGGAGCTGTTGGTGTGAAGGCTCATGAGTTTGCATGGGATTCGTGCTGCCTGCTGGTTGAGTGGCATGCCTGGTTATCAGCGCTCTCTGTATGAAGGTCCTAACCTGAAGGTGTGCTGAAACTGGCCACCAAGCGACTAGAGCCGTCTTCTAGAACACAGCGGCTTCTGCCAGCCTGCCCTCACTGCCTGAGGACCGAGCCCATGCCCTGACCCCTGGCATTCCAACTCCCAGACCTTTACATATGGAGGGCTCAGAGGGGCCACCCTCTGTCCCAGAGCCTTCCCTTCAACTCCGGTCAGTCTTCTAGTGGTCAGTCAGCCAGCTGAGCCCGGCCTCCCCAGGGCCTGACTTAGCAAGAGACCAGCCAGGCAGAGCACGCCCCCCAAGGACCAGCCAGAGCCTCTGCGACAGGCCAGACTTTATTTGGGGGCTGGAGTTTTCCACCTCAGCGGTTCTTGGCCGAGCCGCTTGACATGTGCAAAAGCCCCCCCCAGGCAGCTGGGCCTCACTCGCAGTGTGTACAAAAGGCCCCCACAGGGCAGAGCTGTGCAGCCATAAAAAAACAAAAAATTAATAATATGAAAGAGAACTCAGTCCACCAGGAAGCCGGGCCTGGGCAGGTGTGCGTGCTCCTCCAATTGTGCTTTTCCAAGTCCTGGCAGCCCTGGGGCCGAGGCGTGGTGAGGGGCGAGGAGGCCCAGTGACAGTGCGGGCTGAAGTGGCCTCTCTCACACACACAAGCCCCCAGCACTGGCCTCAGTCCCACAGAAAAGTCACAGCCTCTGTTCCAAAGCCTGGCCCCACTCACGTCTTCCGGTCACAGTTGAGGGGAGAGGGCCACCGTCCTGGGCAGACAAGGCCCTCAGAGCCCCAGGGGCACAATAGGAAGGGAGTGTGCCATTGGCCTCCCACCTCAGGCAGGCATTCGTTAGGCTGACTGTGCGCGTGCCCCGTGTTTGTGTGTGTGTGTATGTGTGTGTGGCTGGAGGTGGGGGCTGAGGCTGGGGGAGGCACGTTGGGAATTCAAGGCACGTTGACTTTAAAGGGACTTCCGGGGACGCTTTCGTCGCCCCATTTGACGATGAGGATGTAGTCCCCCTTCTCCTTAACGGTGTAGGTGACGTTGTACACCCGGTTACCCACGTGCTTCACGTGTACCTCCTCGCACGGCGTCTTGGGCCCGTGCACGCCCACCATCATCATGTTGGTGCCTGGGGGGAGAGAGGAGAGGGCTGAGCTCCCGGCAGGTGCCCTGTCTCCCCCAAACCCTCCACCTGCACCCCGAACTCCCGGCCCTCGGGCTCCCTGCCTGCTTTGCTGCAGTCCACAGTGAATGAGTTCTTCTGGCCCACAAAGGCCTGCGACAGCCCGGGGCCCCGGGTCACCACCTTGCTGGCATCGGAGGAGAACTTGGGGACGGAGCTGTAGCTGGAGCCCCGGCTCGAGGACGACTTGGTGACAGTTTCCACCAGGACCGTGGAGGTTTCATGAAGGCTGTGACCTCCAGACAGACGGGGACCTGGGAGCAGAGTAGCCGGTCAGGACTTCCTGTGGGGTCTTCGGCGGTGGGCCCTCAGCCAGCACGGGCCACCCGCCCTGAAGTGGAGATACTCGGCACCCAGGGTGAGGTCTCCCCCAGCCCCCTTCCTAACACCAAACGTGCGCCCAGTCCCCAGCTCATCCCTGGGCCTCATCCCTCCTTTCTTCAGACTTTGTCTAGAACCCCAGTTACGTCCCTGAGTGAAGGAGGTCTTGCTTTAAAGAGGAAGTTAGAGCTAACTCAAGGGGCTCTGGGGGCAGAGTGGTTACAAGTTGGGCTGCTAACTGCAAAGCCCGCAGTTCAAAACCACCAGCGGCTCAGTGGGAGGAAGATGAGACTTTCTACTCCCATAAAGTTAGAGTCTCAGAAACCCGCAGGGACAGTTCTACCTTGTCCTCTAGGGTGGCTAAGTGTGGAACCAGGTCTCCTCGACTTGGGATGGCTCGTCCATGGTGTTGGAGTGGCCTGAAGGACTGTTCCCTGAGCCAAGGCACTCACCTGTGACCTTGGCCTTGAATGGGCTGCCCACAATGTGCTGGGGGCCACCGTACTTGATGGCAATGAGGTAGTTGCCGGGGGCCATGGGTGTGTAAGTGACCACGTGGCCCTCGGGACATTCCCGGCAGTCCAGCTGCACCTTGGAGGGGCCGTCGATGGTGACGGACAGGGCCCCTGAGCCAGCATTCAGCGTGTTCACGATGAACTCCGAGGACACGCCTGTAGGGTGGGAGGCGGCAGCGCTGTAGCAGGGACGCTTCTGGCCTCAAAGGAGGCCCCAGCGAGGACCCGGCCGGCCCATGACTGAGCCTTATCGGGTGAGGTGTCTGGGACAAGAAGGCCCTGGTGACCCTCCACCACCCCGCTGCCCACCCATCACTCACCAGTTGTGCCTCCCTCGAGCCCAGGGCCGTAGGCTGACACCAGGCCTGGGTCCCCTGCCTGGCTCTGCTCCCCAACCCGGATCTTGAAGGGGCTGCCGGGGATGTGGGCGCCGTTGAACTTGACATCGATGGAGTGGACGCCGTTCTCGTGTGGGATGAAGCGGATAGTGTGTTTGTCTGAGGGACAGAGGGTTGGTAGGTGAGCTTCTGGCCTCTCCTACCCCGCCTCCCCCTCCCCCCAGAGAGATTGAGAGAGACAGACAGACGACAGACAGCAGGGGACTCAGCCAGCTCACCACTGTCCAGCTCGGACACGTAGCACTCTTCCACTGCGCCGGAGGGCGTGTGCACCCTGGCGTCCATCACACCCCTCGCGCCGTTCAGCTGCACCGCAAAGGATGCTGGCTGGTTCACCTTGAGCCCCGTCTCCTGCAGAGGCCAAAGGAGCAGGTCTGGAGGGTCTGTCCCACCCACCTCCGGGACTCCCTCCTCCAGCTGCACTGGGGGGGTGGCGGGAGTGGGCGGAAGGTGCTCCACATGCCTCAGCGGGAGGGGGGGGACCAGGTCTGTGATGTCCTGCTGTAGCCCCACCAAGCCACACGCAGTGTGACTACCCATATCCAGCACCCCTTGTGGAAGGGGGTGCCTGTCAAGCCGAACACCCAATGCAGGGGAGGGCAGAGGGGCAAGAGCTTGGCAGAGCAGTGCAGACACAGCTTGAGCGGCTCAGGTGAAGCAAGCGGGAGGGCTTCCTGGAGGAAGCCACTGTGGGAGGGAGTGGAGGAAGCACAGGGAGGGCGCTGGGGGAAGTGGGGGAAAGCTGAGCCTGCAGGTGGTCCCTGGAAAGTTGCCAAGGCAACTCTGAGGTGTAGCCATGAGGGCCTGTGGGAGGGGCCATGCTGGGCAGGCTGTGCTGTGCTGGCCTGCTGGGTGCTTGCTCTGTGCCCACATCCCAGGTTACGCCCCTCCTCCCTTCTGAGCCCAGCTAGCAAGAGCCCCAGCCAGCTGCCCGGCCACAGACGCTCAGAGCCTGTGCTGCTGATACATTTGACAGGGAGTTTCTTGCCAGGTCCCAGTAACACAGTAACAAGAAGCGACAGGTGGCAGTACAGACAGAGACGGGGCTCTGAGAGGCAGAAACAGGCTGGGAGCCCAGGAGGTAGGGACCACCTGGAGGCTAGTGCGCACCTGGAGGCTAGTGACTGTGAGGCGACGGGCGTCGTCTGAGAGCGAGGCCACGGGCACCACGAAGGGGCTGTCTGGGATGTGCTCATCGTTGAACTTGATGGAAACCTCATAGTCACCTGGGGAAGGGGGTCCTGTCAGCTTGGGCCCCCAGATGGGGGACAGGGGGCCCAGGACCACTTCACTCCACTACAGCCCAGGGCACAGGCATGGAGACAGACACAGTTTTGCAGGGGTGTGGGCTGGAGGTAGCCAGGCCGGGATGGCCCAGCTCTAAGCCTTCGGGCCCCTCACCTGGCTCCTGGACAATGTAGGAGACCCCGCAGGAGCCGTCCTTGCGGTCCTCAAAAGCAATCTCGGCCTTGCTGGGCCCCTCCACGGCAATGGACAGGCCCCCGGCCCCCGCCTCTCGGGTCCAGATGCTGAACTCCGCTGGGGGTGGGCAAGAGTGGCAGGTTAGCACCGCCACCAGCCGGCCACCTGCCCCGGCCCCTCCCACGCCGGCTCAGAGACTTACCTGGCACGCCGGCCACCCCTCGCTCCAGCCCTGTGCCTCCGGCCCGCACCTTGTGAGCCCCGCCTTCACCCAGCGGCCCCACGGTGAACTGGAAGGGGCTGCCGGGCACATGCTGACCACGGTACTTGACGGTGACCGTGTGGGGGCCCATCTCCTGGGGCACAAAGCGTACGCTGTACGCGCTGTCCTCCCCTTCGACGATCTCCGCGGCCTCTGTCCTGCCCGACGGGCTGGTCACCTGTGCAGCCATGTCCTGAGAGCTGGCCTCACCTGCCAGGGAGTGGGGGTCAGGGTCAGGGCCATGCCGGGGCCACCTCCTCCCCTGCTCCCACCTGAGAAGGTCCCCCTGCACTCACCCTCCTGCTGCCGGGTGATGCTGCCGAAAGAACCCAGGCTTTCTCGGCCCAGGAAGTCCCCGAAGACTGCGGGGAAGGGGTCTCCGCCTACCTGGGTGGACTCCTCCACCCTCACCTCCCGCTTGGTCTCGCCTCCTCTGGTCTTGCTGATCTCCGTGCGCTCGGTGCGTGTGTACGTGTGACTGCTGCGGGTGAAGGTGCGTGTCAGGCGCTCCTGGGCAGACACCATCTGGAACCAGTTGCCTGAGGGATGCGAGCTGGGTGAGAAGGGCCCACCAGGACCCCAGCCACCCCAGGGCCAGGCCCTGCCCTGGGTCTCCCCCGCTGGGCTCTCCAGCCCCCACCTGGGATCTTGAGGTTGAGGTCACAGGTACTGCCAATGGTGGCGATAGAGGGCGCCTGCCGACACCGGGTGATGCTCTCCTTCATGCGGCCCTCACCAGTGACCTTCACAGTGAAGGGACTTCCTGCGGGGGAGGGCGAGGGCACTCAGATGGGGCACGCCAGCCTCCTGGTCCCCCTGCCTCCTGGTCCCGCTGCAGCCTGAGCCTCACCAGGTACATGCTTGTCAGCGAACTTGATGTTGATGACATAGGTGCCAGGCTCCGTGGGGCAGTAGGTGACTTTGCACGTGCCGTCCTCCATGTCCTCACAGTTGATGTCCACCTTGCTAGGGCCTTCGATGCTCAGCCCCAGGCCTCCGTAACCTGGGGGAAAATGAGGGACATATCTGTCTTGGCCCCTTCGGCAGGGCCTGGCCCGGAACGGGGCTGGCCAGCTGACGTCGGGGACCTTCCCTTCGGGGGCTCAGGGCAGACGTACCCGCGTTGCGAGTGTCCACGATGAACTCGGCCACCTGGAAGGTGTGTCCCTCCGACAGGCCCTTGCCCCAGACCCGAACCTTGCTGGCGTCCCCAATCTCGGAGGGCCCCACCAGGATCTTGAAGGGGCTGTTGGTGACGTGCTTGCCGTTCTTGCGCACGCTCACCACGTGCTCCCCGACCTCCTTGGGGGTGAAGGAGATGCCTGTGGAGACAGGGGTGTCAGGCCCAGGTCCGGTCTGGGGGCTCCCGCGCCCCCCCACCCCACCCCACCCCCCCGGCGCCGTGCTCACCGATGTGTCGGTTGGGCAGTCGCTTGAGCAGGCAGGGCTCCTCGATGCCCGAGGGGGCCCGGATGCTGGCGGTCAGCAGGCTCAGGTCGCTCTCGGTGACCTTCAGCGAGACGTCTGTGGACGTGCCCACGTTCAGCTGCGAGGTCCTCATTGAGTCGTCCCCTGGAGGGAGGGCGGGGGTCAGGGGCAGTCACACCTCCATGCAGGCCCTGCCCTGGGTGCAGCTGAGGGGGGGCGGCCTCGGGAGACTGGTACGCAGAAACTGAGGTCTCAGGGAGCAGCTAAATCTCTGTGTGGCTGCCAGACCAGCACCCCAAGTCCCCTTGCAGACCCTCCTCAGATGTCTCAGGCCAACCCCGAAAGGAACCTCTGAGGACTGGCATCTTCAGTCGGGGCTTTTGTAGGAAGTACGTGCCAGGCTGGGCCCCAAGCCCCAGCCCTGGCTCCTGCCCTGACAGGGTAAGCTTTGAGCACACCGCTTTGGTTCTGGGGCTGGTTTTGTTGTCTGAGAAGAGACCACCAACAGCCTGACTTCTTGTGAGCTCCAGTGCAGCCTGACTTCTTGTGAGCTCCAGTGCAGACTACGGAGGCCTACATCCCTCGCTGCAGGGATGTGCCCGACATGGGTCCCCTGAAAGGATGCTGTTCTCACGTCTGGAGAGACTGGACATGCTGCCAGCTGGGCATGGATGTGCACACGTGTGTGGTATGTACACCATGTGCACATGTGCATGGCATGTGGCGCGTGCTCGGTGTGTACGGTGTGTCTGAGGTGCATGCACTTGTGCGGTTATGTGCACATTGTGTAATATATGCAATGTGTGTATGGGTGGTACGTCTGAGATGCATGCACACATGTGCTGTGTATGTCGTGTGTACATGTGTGTGGTGCGTTCATGGTGTGTGCATGTGGCCTGTGGTGCCAGCTGCCAGTGTGCCCGCACCCACCCACCTGCCCACCCACCCACCTGTGATCTTGGCGGTGAAGGGGCTCCCTGGGATGTGCTTGTCGTCAAAGCGCACGATGATGCTGTAGTCCCCCGGCGCCGTGGGCAGGTAGGACACAGTGCAGGTGCCGTCCTTGTTGTCCTTGCAGGTGATCTCCGCCTTGGATGGGCCCTCCACGGCCAGGGACAGACCTCCTGGGGGTGGCATTGGTCCTGAGATCAAAGCTCCTGCCCTCTCCCCAGCCCCTGGCTGACCTCCCAGCTCAGTCTGTGCCTGCAGCTCCCCTCACCTTCCCCGGCATCCTTGGTGACAACGGTGAAGGTTGCCGGCTTGTTGACCATGCCATGGCTCAGGCCTGGCCCGTAGGCACTCACATGGCGGGTGTTGATGGCGTCCACGTAGAACTGCAGGGGACTCCCTGGGGGTTTCCCAGGAAAGGAGGCTGAGTCAGAGGTGGGCACCACAGTCCTTCCCCGGCAGCTTCCCTCCTGAGCCACAGGGTCCTGGGCAAGAAGGCGCTGAGCAGGGATGAAGGTGTAGGTGCCAGCCAACTCACCAGGGATGTGGTTGTCGTCATACTTGATGCCCATCTGGTGCAGGCCCTTCTCGGTGGGCGCGTACCTCACTGTGATGGTGCCGTCCTTGTTGTCAGTGATGTTGGGCCGAGCCGTCTTCCCAGAAGGCATCCGCACCTCCCCTGCCAGGCAGATGTGATTAGCAGGGGCTCTGGTGGCTCCCACCCCATACCCCCCACCCGTCCCAGCCCACCTCCCAGCAACCCCCACCCCCACCCCTGAGTGGCTCTGCTTCCCCTCCGAGGCCAGGTCAGGAGGCAGTGGGGGCTCTGCACCTTCTCTGAATCACAGTTTCACCCGGTGGGCAGTACCTGTGAGCTCCCCTTTCTGCACAGTGAAGGGGATGACCAGGTTGAAGGGCCGCAGCATGGACTCCATGGCCTCTGCGGGCACCACGGGCTCCTCAGTGGCCTGTGGTGGGTGAGAGGGGGTGGTCGTTGGCTGGGACAGGCCTGTGTGCCGGGTCTTGGCCCAGAGGGAGGCCAGAGAGGCCAAGGAGGAGCCAGGTGGTGAGGCCGTGCAGCAGAGAGATGCAGCAGCTGCTAAAGAAGAGGCATGTGCCCCGCCCTCCTGGGTCCACCTGCCCCGCCTGGCTCCCACCGGCTCTGCCCAGGGTCCATCTGCTCCCCGAGAAGCCCTGGCTGCTGGGTGACAGAGACAAAGGTGAAGGAGGAGGAAGAGGAGGTGGCTTGCCGGCACAGGCGGCAGTACCCAGTGTGTGGGGTAGGCGCCGGGCCGGTGCGGGGCGTAGGGCTGGTGTAGCGGCAGCGCGTCAGAGGGCTCCTTCCCGTGGGGCAGGGGGTCACACGCCTGGGGAGGCAGGGCACAGGGCACAGTGGGGCAGGGGGTCACACGCCTGGGGAGGCAGGATACGGGGGCACAGTGGGGCAGGCCAGTGCACCCAGCTCAAGGGACCAAGAGCCAACTCCCAGCTCCCACTCCCACGCTCTCTGCCATCAAGGGGGCCCCCCCGCCGGTGAGGAGTGCATGGTGCAGAGAGTTGAGCGGCCCTATGGTGTTTTTGTAGCTGTGATCTTTTGGAAATGGGCTGCCAGACCTTTCCTCTGCAGTGCCTCTGGGACGGTTTGATCGGCCATGCTTCCAGGAGGCTGGCAGAGATTAGCCATTTGTGCCACCAGGGGCCCTAGCTGGCTCGGAGCCTGACACCCTAGGGCACCTGAGGGGCAGGCTGGCAGCCTTGGGGCCTTGCCCCCTACTTCCTCCTGCAGGGCCAGCTCTGGGAAGATGAAGCCGGTGACGATGGCCGCAGAAGCCCACCTCCTTTGGGAGAGCTGGCCCTGGGTGCTCTTGGCCCAGAACCATCGGACATGGGGCAGGTCTGTGATTCCTGCCTCTGAGGGCTGGAACCGTCCCCCAGCCCCCAGCCCGAATCCAACCAGCAGCCTGTATACCCCAGCTGCCAGTCCACAGCCCGCACCCGGCCTGCACCAGGAACTCACCAGCACGTGGAAGGGGCTATTCGGGATGTGCTCGCCTCCGAAGCGGATGGTGATGACGTACTTGCCCGGCTCGGGCGCTGTGTAGTAGATGTCGAAGGTGCCGTCATGGTTCTCCACCACGTCCACGTCCAGCTCAGCCCCGTCGGGCGTGGACACCGTGCATGTCACCTTGCCTTTGCCGGCTGCCTTGGCATCCACCGTGATCACTGTCTCCTCCCCGATCTGGATGCGGGGCCCCAGGCAGGCACCTGCCACAGAAGCACCAGGTCAGGCCCGTGGGACGGGGTCCAGCCCTCCCGTTCCCTGGTCCCCAGGCAGGAGAGGGGCCACTCACCCAGGCCGTGGCCCCCAATGGACACTGGAAAGAGAGAGAGAGAGAGAAAGAGTGTGAGGCAGCTGCCCACCCCACCCCAGGTGGGTGGAGGGGCTGGGGCTGGGGTGGGAGGTCAGCCCTGCAGGCTATGAGCTGGGGCCGGGGCATCAGGGTGAGTGCCCACCTGTGACAAGGCACTTGCTGGCATCCCCCGTGGGCAGGGCATGGATGCGGAAGGGCGAATAGGGGATCTCGTCGCCACCATACTTGATGGTGATGGTGTAGCGGCCACTCATGTCCGGCAGGTAGGACACGGTGTATGTGCCGTCCCCGTTGTCTCGGATGTTGGCCTTCTTGGGTTTGCCCTCGGGGTCCTAGGGGAACAGCAGAGGTCCAGGGGGACCTGAGCCAGGGCCGGACGGGGTGGGGGAGTCCAGCAGGATCTGGGTGGGGGTTAGGGGTGGCAGGGGACGCACCAGGATCTGGACGGTGAGCAGCCCCTCCCCGGCGTCCCGGGCATCGATGGTGAACTCCACGGGGAGGCTGGCAGGAATGCCGGAGGCGTTGAGGCCGGGCCCGCTGGCCCGTACCTTGCTGGCATCGTGGGCTGGGAGCACCTTGATCTTGAAGGGGCTTGAGGGGCAGAAGGATGGATGGTTGGCTGGGGGTCAGAAGAATGTGGCCATGCTGGGCCTGGAGTTCACCCATTTGCATGGCTAGGAAGGGGGACAGCTCCCACCCAGTCTCAGATCCCTCAGAGACCCCATGACAGGCTCTGAACATGCCCTCTTTCCTCCCAGGGGGAGGCCATGATGTGTAGAGGGTCCAGGGACACCCTCTCTAGCCTGAGGTCCTCTCTCTGATGTGCAGCTATGCCCCTCTGGGGGTGAAGGCTCGGCAGGAGGAGAGCCCCTGCCCAGAGCTGCCTCCAGGGGAAGCAGGGGCACAAGAAGGGATCCCAAGAAGGCAGAGATGGCTGAGGACAGGGAGTAGAGACCAGGTCCCACTGATGCGGCCCTGTGGAAGCATCCCCCAGCCCCCC